GCAGCCTCGCCTTTGTCAGTGCGGCCCTGGGCAGCTGTGGCTGCAGTGTAGCTCATCACCATCAGTGTGTGAATGTGTGTATGTGTGTGAATGATGCAGGGTAGTGGAAAGAACTTTGGAGTCCTCTGGCTCTGAAAGGCGCTATAGAGCTCTGGACGTCACGTGGTTCTCAGAGAGTAGACGCCATGTTGGCAGGCAACAAAGGTAAACAAAATGAACGGGATCGGCTTGGATTTTACTCTGTCAGAGTTTACTTCACACTTTAAAGCCAGATAAATCATTTATATAGTCAGAAATTAAATAGACTAAACATCTCAGACCCTTACTATGCCTCTGGGATTCTTTTTAAAATGCCAGAAGCTGTCGGAGCAGACCTCTTACCGGATTTGAGATACCCTGACATTTATAATTTCCTTGTTAATCTGTCTGAGATCAGTCTCGGTGAGACAGATAATAGCAATCCAGAGTGCTTTTTATGTGTGATCTGACATTTGATCAACCATTGCTTAAAAATTAAATACATCTTAGCTGGTTAATTGCTGTGATCATAAAACACATAAACGGCAGCACGCAGAACTCACGAGGCAACGTTTTACGTGATGTTTACTTGCTGCTATGAGTAATAAGACAGAAAAAGCCACGCCAAAATAAGTTTAGGAAGCCCACTAAGAATCGTAATAAAAGCATTTAAAATAAATACCATACACAGTTGAGGAAACATTGGTTTAAGTACCTGATATGAAGTGGTCGCTGCATAAGCGAAAACCTTTACTCTCGGGGTCCCACAGCTTCATTTTAACCTGGAGGCTAGGGCGTTTCATTGCAATGATCCAACGTTTGCGGTGTTCCGGATTTTGGGGAAGTGTGTATATGGCTCTTCCCTTATCTCGTCCGCCTCTGTTCTGGCATCCTGGGGCACAACAGGAATCTGTCATATTTCCCGTTTGATTAAGTTTTATGACAATAACAAATAGCCTAGCTGCGAGCTACTGCCTGCCAAGATGGCACCGTTCGATTTGAACTGTTGCATGCTGGGAGAAGTGACGTCAACTCCTGGAGCTCTATACAAGTGCAGGTCATTTAAAACATCAATGTTGCAGAGCAAGCAGAGACAATGGTAGAGTCACATTGCTGTTAACCAATCAGCAGTGACAAGTTTGCATGTCATTAAATAAGACTCCAATTCCTGCAGTTGCTCATTTCTAGCATCTGAAACAGGAGCGTCAGAGTGAACTTGCTCTTTAATAAAAAAAATGTGCAAAGCAGTGACCATGGTGATTTGAAGTAGCTGTACATTTTATTCTTCATGTGAAAAATGTCTTGATGCTAAAATGCACATATCTGTTAGTGTAACTGCATCCTGTAACATGTTGTTTTATTGGGTTATTGTATATTTATTAGGGATGTAAGAAAAAATCGTTACACTGAAATATCGCGATATTTCTTGTTATGATACTGAATCAATAATTAAAAGCAGTGTATCAATCTTTTATTGAGGTTTTTAAACCCTGTATTTACTGTATTTCTTATGTGTGATGCAATTCAAACTGACTGCTTCATTCTGACAGAACAACATTTTTCAAAGTTTTCCAATTAAATTCAGTCTTGAAGATTGCAAATGTCATTATCGCAATAAATCATATTGCCTCCCCTGTGTTGTACTATATATCGGATTGTCCTATTCTTGCCAGTACACACCCCTTATGTTTGTGTTGGATCAGGGTTACTGGTTTAGTGCACACAGTCCAGTTCAGTCTATTTCATTTCAGTTCAAACTTCTGTTTTCAAAGATGTTTTCTGAGTGATTTCATTTTTTTTGTTTGTTTTTCCAAGTTGCAGAGGGTCATCATGAACTGGAACAAAACCACGTTCCTCTTTTTATAGTTTCACAGTCATGTGTAGAGAAGACATGAACACCCCCTTGTCACATTTTACAGTAATTATTATGTCCAGCATCAGAATGTTCACATTGTTTCCTCTGTTTTTGTGCTTTAATCTCTTTATCACTGCGTCTCGACAGCGGAAGGGAAAACAATAGACCCCCCCCGACGAGAACATTAGCTGAGCCTTCTGTTCATTCACCAGAACATTATATAGACACCAGATGTGTGCATGTTCTTGGCTGAGCCACCCAGCCATGTTGTTGGAAGTAGACAAAGGTTTAACTATCTCATCAACGCCACAGGGAGCCACGTTCTGCTTTCTTTAATTGTTGTTTACAAACAAGTATGTTTTAGATTAGACTGGATATCCATCAACATAAATACAAAAAAACTCCACAAATGTGGTATTTTACAAGCTTGACATTGAAACAAATGATATAAATGTTTTTACTCTTTAGTAAATGTAAGCATTTGTTGTCTAGGTTTTGCTTATTATTTCCTCACCGACGTTCTAACTCATAATCTTTGGCTTTATTTTAATGTCTCTTCCTTTGTTTTTATCATTGTGTTAACACGGTGTTTATACGTTGTTTATGCTAAGCTAAAACAAACAGAATAATGGCAGGTTAGGAGAATGACTGGTCTCGTTACTAGGGATGGACCGATACGATACTGGTATCAGCATCGGCACCGATTCCAATACCAATACCAGTACCAGAATCGGTATCGGTAAAAGTTAACCGATACCAGGAATCGATACCAATGCAGTTGCTTGAAAATGGCTTCACTGTAACTTGTCATTTCTGTTCACATAATATCTAAGTTTTGTGATGATTTCCAGTCATATATTTTACTTTTATCTACCTCACAGTCTTTTCCTGTTGAAAGCAGAGAAGAAGAAAAAATATGTAATCCAAATAATTACTTTTTTTGTGTTGTAGAAGTATTGGTATTGGTAATCGGTATCAGCGAGTACTCAGATCCAAGTATCGGTATCGCATCGGTTTGGAAAAAAGTGGTATCGTTGCATCCCTACTCGTTGCCAGTGTTAGGAGCAGCGGCGTTCAAATATGACGCTGTTACTAATGGCGGTATTTTTAGGTGACGGAGTAATCAAATTACTTTCCCCATCGTTTCAACGTTGTTACAGTTACTGGGCATGTACAGTAGTGTGTTACTACATTGAAGTCCTCCTCTGTCAGCCTTTCTGACAACCACACTAGTGATGTGTCGGTCACGCATGCAGCGCTGTTAGAGCCGATCGGAGCCAACTTCTTCTTGGAGGAGCCGGTCTGAATGACACCGGCTGTACCTGCACCCCCCATCCTATCCTGATCAGGTGTAACAAATGACAAAAATGAACATACACGCGTGTGCCTCCAGTCTGATGGCGCTGCAGCACACACATACCTCCAATGGCTGTAAAAGCAGGGGGAGGGGGGCGACGCGAGCAAAAGGCCTTGGACAATTAATGGGGTGAGACCTGAAAATATTGGTGGGGACAAATTTGTAAAAAAGGAGGAAAAAATTAATAAACAGTGCTTCAGAAAGTTGAGAAGATAAGCGAAAACAGGACAGGCAGGGAGAAAAATTTATGGCAAGCTGTTTTAACATTTAATTTACAATTGGACATTTTTGTAATTCCTTTTTTAGTTTAGCAATAATTAAAATTTTCTAATACTAAATGCATTCTAATTAGTAAAAAGTGCAAATGAAGAAATCAACAGGTCTATGTTGTTACTCGTAGATTTATAATTACGGATATCCATAACAACAACTACAGTAGTAGGAATTAAGTTATAGATATCTCAGAATCCCAAAAAAACCTAAGGTAGTCTTTTTAACATTTATTAGGCAGACTGGAAATGTATTCCAGATATCTATATCTCCTTTAAAAAGCAGCTGAAAACTCACCGGTTCAGGCTGGCTTTTGCATGACCTTTGTCACCACCCTCTCCTTATTCTGCTCTCATTCCACTTTTCCCGAGATCCATTGATTTCCCTCTTTCCTATTCCCCCCCCCCCCCCCCCCTTCCATACATTTTGTTGTTATTTTCTCAGTTTAAAGGTATTTTTAATTCTTCTTCTTCTTCTTCTTCTTCTTCTTCTTCTGCGTGTCTAACTCTGGGGAATATGATAGGGATGGATAATATCGGCATCAATATCGGTATCGGCCAATGTTGTCATTTTTTAACATATCGGTCCGATAAATAAAATCGGGCCAATATTAACAGCCGATATTTTTTCCATCTTGTCTTCATTTGTTTATCTGTTTCAGAGGGTGAGGGGGGTGATGTGTATTTGCTTAGTCATGTGACAGTGATTGTAATCATCTCGGAAGTGTAAATGTGTGTGGTGTGTGTGTACATAATAATGTAAATTTAGCTTTAATAATTTTCATTTTATACAAAATCTGTTGATTTCAGAAGCATAATTGTCAGTATATCGCTATCGGCCATGACAGTGATTTTAATATTGGTATTGGCCCAAAAATTTAATATCGGTGCATCACTAGAATATGACAATGGATTAAATTTCACTTAGGGGTGGAATATCCCTTTAAAATACCTATAGTCTCGTATACCTCCGCAGGCCTAAATAAAACATCTGTCTTAATTCAGGGCACAAAAAAAGCGGTTTCATAATCCCATCTTTTAGCAGTTTGTTGAGTTTGAAGGATGCCAGTGACTGTACCATTTATCTGTAATGGTATTTTGTGTTTGGGCAGTAGTGGAGGCTTCAGAGTCTTTTGAATAAAGAGGAAGCACACGTCTTCCACAAACACAGTTAACCACTTAGTCCTGTAATGTATAACGATGATGCACAATTCTTAAAAGGTGAGACGAGACTGATGACGTGTACAGATGCGTAAGGAAGGGTGGGATAAGCTGCTGCATCTGCATCTGCAAAGCTGTCTCTAGGTAGAAATCTGTGTTTGAGTCCAATCTTCAAGCAGCATCTTTATGAGAACAAAAATTTCTGTTGCATATTCAACGTATTGGTTGAGTTAGTTACTGTTAAATAGAAAATGTTTAATGCTTGACTCATTTTTTCTAAGCATGTTGCAGTTGTGTTGTCTTGTTATGTTTTTTACGCTTTTTATTTGATCTGAATTAGGTACCATGAGTTGGACCTGGAGAAGAGCTTAAGGGAAAACCTGAGCGGCAAAACACTCATCGAGTATCCTGTTCTCCACGTTGTTCTCAGAGATTATTGGAAGGACTATCCACTGAAAGGAGCAGGTAACCACTCTGTTGTATTAACATAAAGAGCTAATCTTTTCATCTTGTTTTTTGCCTCCATGGTGACGAGTAAAATGGTGAGTGCCGAGCCGAACTAGAGTTGAAACATGTGAGTCCCAAAGTTCTACCCTCTCCTTGTCTGACGATTCCAACAGCGTTGTATCATGTCCTGCTTTCTCCAGCTGAGCCTGTAAGACTCTGTTGCCTTATTTTTTCACTATGGCAACACGTTACCCCAGTGGAAATGAGTGTGTTCTGCTCAGCATCACACACACCAACTTAACCTCAACACAATCTGTGGCCAAGAAGAGGATCAACATGGCCTACCGTTGGACCGTTACTTCATGAGTTCTATGGAGAAGGAAAAGGACCAAACAGGATGTCGGTCTGTGCTTTTCCCTCGCCTGTTAGTCGGTTTCTTCCAGCCCTGAGTGCTTTGGGTCGAGGGGTGTCAGTCATGTGAAAACAACGCCACATACCACGAAGAGGCACACTCATTGATTTCTTCCTCCTTCCCCAGAAGTGCATGATGTTGTTAAACAGTGTGTGTTGCAGTTGGACCTCCTGGTCTCATAATACCACACAAACCCACGATGATACTGTCAGAACGCACGGACCCAATGATGCATGAGGTCACTGTAGTGAGTGTGTTTTCAGTGATAAGGCCCTGGTGGCATGTTGTTTTCCTATAATGTTAGCCATGGAAGCATCCTGATAATCACACATGCCGCGGCCTGGGAAGCTGGGCAGGAAGTGATAACAAGCAATAGGACACTGTGGCATGTCTACTTAGGATAAAGTCATGTTGAGGGTCTGCAGCGTGCACTCTGTCAGTATTTAGCTTGAAACTATATTCAGCTCATTACAGCTGAGTCTTGGTGATAAAACCTCCACTTTGTTCTGGTTCCAGACATCAAATTACAGTATAATGTCTGACTTCTGAAGGCTCCTGGTTGCTGTTGGTAATCGGTGCTCGACAGAAAAGAGAAAGTGTTAAATGTTGAGCCTCACCTCTGACGCTGACAGGAACAAAGCACCTCTGATTGTTAGTGTGACAGTGTTAGTCAAACCCAAATATGCTATTTAGCAGGCAAACACAGATTAGGACCACGTAACTAAATGCGGGACAGCAGTAGCTCAGGAGGTAGAGCGGGTTGTCCAGAAATCGGAAGGTTGTAGGTTCAATCCCAGCTCCCACTAGAGAATGCTGCTGTTGTGTCCCTGGGCAAAACACTTAACCCACCTTGACTGCTGGTGGTGGTCGGAGGGACTGGTGGCTCTAGTGCTCGGCAGCCTTACCTCCGTCAGTGCGCCCGAGGGCAGCTGGCACCGTAATTATGCCAATTTTTGACCTTATTTATTCCTTCAATCTTCAAGGTGTGGAACACTGAAAAAACATTTTTAGTTATTATTTCTGATTATAATGAGTTTAGCATGCAGGCTAAACAAAGACTCCAAAACCTGTCGTGCTCTGCCACGAGTATGGCTTGCAAGTCTTTCACTTGATTAAACAAGTGTCTCACACCTTTAAGGCACCTGACTACCATTACAACGCTAAAGAAAGTCAGATATTCTTGCCTTATGGTGTGTATCGAGCGCTCTGATCTGTTTGGAAGGACGTTGGGACCTCTCCGATAATCGTAAGTTGAGTTTTCAACCACAGTGGGTTATCTTGGTTTGATTTTTCAGGACAAACCAAAAGGCTGCATGTTGAATTTGATGTGTAGAAAGAAACCGAGGAGACAAAATCTCTACAAGTACCTCCTCCTTCGCCACGTTTTTCCCATGTGACCGGAAAATGTCCGTGCGTGAAATTGGTTTGTGTATAACTTGTAGTTTCAGGCTGTGTGGCCGGACACGGTAGGAACACAAGTGTTTATCGTCGTGGGTTCACAGCTGAGTGTGAAGCAGCTGGGATGAGAATCAGCTCCTCTGAATCTGAGACCATGGTCTTGATTCGGAAAAGGGTAGAATGCCTTCTCCGGGTCAGGGATGAGGTCCTGTTCCATGTGGAGGAGTTTAAGTACAGGTGCTGGCCAGTAAATTAGAATATCATCAAAAGGTTGAAAATATTTCAGTAATTCCATTCAAAACGTGAAACTTGTACATTATATTCATGCAATGCACACAGACCAATGTATTTCCAATGTTCATTACATTTAAATTTGATATTCATAAGTGACAACTAATGAAAACTCCAAATTTGGTATCTCAAAAAATTAGAATATTCTGAAAAGGCTGAATATAGAAGACACCTGCTGCCACTCTAATCAGCTGATTTACTCAAAACACCTGCAAAGGCCTTTAAAAGGTCCCTCAGTCTTGTTTTGAAGGCACCACAATCATGGGGAAGACTTCTGACTTAACAGCTGTCCAAAAGACAATCATTGACACCTTGCACAAGGAGGGCAAGACACAAAAGGTGATTGCTAAAGAAGTTGGCTGTTCGCAGAGCTCTGTGTCCAAGCACATTAACAGACAGGCGAAGGGACGGAAAAAATGTGGTAGAAAAAAGTGTACAAGCTCTAGGGATAACCGCACCCTGCAGAGAATTGTGACGACAAACCCATTCAAAAATGTGGGGGAGATCCACAAAGAGTGGACTGCAGCTGGAGTCAGCGCTTCAAGAACCACCACGAGGAGACTCATGAAAGACATGGGATTCAGGTGTCGCATTCCGTGTGTCAAGCCACTCTTGAACAAGAAACAGCGCAAGAAGCGTCTCGCCTGGGCCAAGGACAAAAAGGACTGGACTGATGCTGAGTGGTCCAAAGTTATGTTTTCTGATGAAAGCAAGTTCTGCATTTCCTTTGGAAATCAAGGACCCAGAGTCTGGAGGAAGAGCGGAGAAGCACAGAATCCACGTTGCATGAGGTCCAGTGTAAAGTTTCCACCGTCAGTGATGGTGTGGGGTGCCATGTCATCTGCCGGTGTTGGCCCACTCTGTTTCCTGAGGTCCAGGGTCAATGCAGCCGTCTACCAGGAAGTTTTAGAGCACTTCATGCTTCCTGCTGCTGACCAACTTTATGGGGATGCAGACTTCACCTTTCAACAGGACTTGGCACCTGCACACAGTGCCAAAACCACCAGCACCTGGTTCAAGGACCATGGTATCCCTGTCCTTGATTGGCCAGCAAACTCGCCTGACCTTAACCCCATAGAAAATCTATGGGGTATTGTGAAGCGGAGGATGCAATACGCTAGACCCAACAATGCAGAGGAGCTGAAGACGACTATCAGAGCAACCTGGGCTCTCATAACACCTGAGCAGTGCCACAGACTGATCGAGTCCATGCCACGCCGCATTACTGCAGTTATTGAGGCAAAAGGAGCCCCGACTAAGTATTGAGTGCTATACATGCACATTCTTTTCATGTTCATTCTTTTCAGTTGGCCAACATTAGAGAAACAAACATTTTTTCATTGGCCTTTAGAATATTCTAATTTTCTGAGATACCAGATTTGATGTTTTCATTGGTTGTCACCTATAAATATCAAAATTAAACGTAATAAACATCGGAAATACATTGGTCTGTGTGCATTGCATGAATATAATGTACAAGTTTCACGTTTTGAATGGAATTACTGAAATATTTTCAACCTTTTGATGATATTCTAATTTACTGGCCAGCACCTGTATCTCGGGGTCTTGTTCACGAGTGAGAGAAAAGTGGAGCGTGAGATCGTTAGGCGGATTGGTGCTGCATCTGCAGTGATGCGGGCGTTGTACCGGTCTGTCGTGATGAAAAAAAGAGCTGAGTCAGAAGGCGAAGCTCTCGATTTACCGGTCGATCTACATTCCTACCCTCACCTATGGTCATGAGCTTTGGGAAGTGACCGAAAGAACGAGATCGCGGATACAAGCGGCCGAAATGAGTTTTCTCCGCAGAGTGGCTGGGCTCTCCCTTAGAGATAGGGTGAGAAGCTCGGTCATTCGAGAGGGGCTCGGAGTAGATTTGCTGCTCATCCACATCGAGAGGAGCCAGTTGAGGTGGCTTCGGCATCTGGTCAGAATGCCTCCTGGACGCCTCCCTGGTGAGGTTTTCCGGGCACGTCTAACCGGGAGGAGGCCTAAAGGTAGACCCAGGACACAGTGGAGGGACTGTGTCTGTCACCTGGCCAGGGAACGCCTTGGGATTCCCCCAGAAGAGCTGTCTCAAGTTGCTGGGGAGAGGGAAGTCTGGGCATCTTGACTTAGGCTGCTGCCCGCACGACCCGACTCCGTATAAGCAGAAGAAAATGGATGGACGGACGGTCGGTCAGTTGGTCGGCCGTGGTTTATAAATCATATTTGTGAACAAGAAGGCCGGGATAGTAAAGTTTCAGCGTCGCATAGTCACCTCCATCAGAGTTTTACCGGAACTTTGCTTCTTTGTGTACAAGATAAGAACAGGAAAAACAATCGAAATAGAAGAGAAAAACAGAAAGAACATAACAAAGAGGCTAACAGGAGTTTGTTCTAAAGACCTCTGGGAGGGACTTGGAGTTGAGCCACTGCTCCTCCACATCAGGAGGAGCCAACAGAGGTGGTTTTGGGCTTGTTTCACCCAGGGGGGACCCAGAGGTCCTGCTGGCCTTAGGATCCACATCAGAAGAGCTGGAGGAGGTAACCAGGGAGAGCACCGTCTGGACCCGGATGAACAAGGGTCGACTTTTATAAAGTAAAACAAAATGTTCCCTTAAAGTCCTCGTTCAGCTGGATTTGAATAAGTGTGTTTAAAAGAAGCCAGAGATGACTGAGGAAAAGCAGATTTGAGCCAACTGCCATGTTTTTTTTATTGTTGTGCAGCTGCTTGCTGTCAGCAGCTAACACACACACACACACCTCTGTGGAAGGGTTGTGGTCCAAAAACATCCTGAAAGTAAGCAAATGGAAATAAAATTACAGAAACAAGCAGGAAAATCACACCTCAACACAAATTTACCAGGTTATAAACTGTGATTAAGAGGAACTATATTAAGCATGAAGACTTTAATTTTAAACAAGCAAAAACTGTAAGGAGATGTGGATCTGTGTAACCGAGCCTTGAAATCTAATCCCTAATATATATTTTGTCTTTTTGAAATGAGCTGACATTTTGATGTTTAGAAAAGCAGAAGAACTTAGAGTGGTTCTGTCTGCTTTTTGAGTAGTTTTGCTGCATGATTTGCATCCACTTTGTTCCTTAGTTTACTTTTTACACGTTTTGTTGTTGCATATATCTAATTGGAAGAATCCCCTCATTCGTCCTGAAACCACACTATAGCATCATCATTTCTGAAGTGCACTTTTCTTTTCTTAAGCATTTTTTTTTATTACCTTGTTTACATGCAGGTTTGGGCAAGAGGGAGTTTTACGACCTGCCGTTTGCAAATGATGTTATTCAGAAATGGGGTCATGTCATTTCAGCTGAACCTGCACCAGCATGCATGTCTTCTGCAACAAGGAATGTTTGGATGGACCAGGAGGGACAGAAGGAGGAGGTGGAGGAGAAGGAAGTGGTGGCGGCCAAAGATTCACCGCACATACAAGAGTCGTACAGACCAGGGGGAACAAATATTTGCACAAGAGCCCGGGAGATGACTCCTGAAACCGAGGCCCCGCAGGAGAAAAGAGCAAAGAGAGGAGCAGAGGATGGGGAGCAAGAAGAGGGAGAGATCATAGACAGCAGCGATGAGGAGGACAGAAATGAGTCACAATGATATATTAGGTCCTTCTGAAGATGATGTGGAGAATGCCTCGGCCTCTAGAGATGAAGCTGTCACCATGAAGCAGCAAAAAAGAAAAGGAAATGTGCATCGTCACTGATTTTGAAATGAGTCAGCTGGGACGATAAAGAGTTTGGTGAATAAACTGAAATAAATGAGAACAGAGGAATACAAAACTATCAGACTGGGTTAGAGAAGAACAGCTTAATGTTTTTACTTATTTAGGATGTTTTCTCATCTAAAATCATTTTTCATTTTTATGATACTTTATCATGTTTTCTTCTCAAAATAATAAAAAGACACTTTGTGCCACATTGACTTGATGTTGAGCCTCGTTTGAGCCTACTGCTGTTCAGAAGCATCATTTATTACCATTAAAGACTCCAGAGCGCCTAATTTATCAAATTGTAGATTTGTTTTCCTGAACAGCCTCTGTTTGGTGAAATAGTTTCAGCAAGAGCTAATGGCTAGTGAGTGTACTGGTGGTATCCTAAAACATCTCCATTTGCCTAAATGTTGTAGCAGTTTATCAAATGCCTCATGAACTTTGTCCAGAGAGGCACTATATAAAAGATTTCTTCTTCTTCGAAGGTAAGTTAAATGTTTCTGGGGAAAAGCCATTAAAGCAAGCTATATTTTAGAAAAACGGAAATCAAAGGTCCAACCCCCTTTTTTCAGGCTCCTCCCCTAAGCCATGACTCCAGAATACAGGAGAGTGCCAGATGCAATTGATAACTGTCGATAATAAAACCAACTTTTCTGCTATAATTTCTAACGTAATGTACTTGCGTAACAGCCGCGGAGCCTCCAGGATTCTGAAGGACTCCTTGTAGTCTGGTTCCAGTCAGGAGTTCTCCGGACTTTCCCTCTGAAGGTTTAAGAGAGAGAAGCCACTGGAATCTACAACTGATCCAGTGAGGAGGACTGGGCTTATCGCACTAGAAACTCCATCTGCTTCCACCCTACTACTAAACCGTATAACAATTTACTAGCTAATATAGCTATCTCAGCTCTGGCTTTACTTCCTGCTAAGCTGCTCCGAGCTGAGAATGTGCAATTAGTGCTCAAAGAGGGGTGTGTGCAGAAGCGGGATGGAGAGTCAGATAAGCAGTTTGATAGATGGACCAGGAGCCAATCATTTTGAATGTATGGTTCTAAATGGTTGGATGAGGTTTTTTCAGAATTTCAGAGCCAATTACAGTTATTTCTGTTTTTGACAAAGCATTAGTTTATGCATATAACCACTGTTCCCTAAAGGAGAGGAACTATTTACAACTATGGGACATCACATTCTAGGACATCTAATCATGCCTGTAAAAGCAAATGAGTGTGACTCCGTGTGGTGGCCCAGCCCTCCACCTTTAGACACCTAGTGTCACTGTCATTTATCAGTTCGATCTGCTCTTCACCAAGCCAGGCTGTGAAGGGGGCAGCCCTGTGTTGTACCTCGTTCCCATCCTTCAGGGAACAGTGGTTATATGCATAACCTAACGTTCCCTTTCAGCCGATTCACTCGGTACAATAGAGGTACTGTTGCTAAACGCAACGGTTATGACATTTGTCAACAACCTGCCCTACCAGTGGGCAGAGGGCGCCCAGACATTAAGTGTCCAGCTGGTTTGATCTGCCTGGAATATTGTGTGCTTCTCCATACCAAAACAGTCCTCTGTTTTTTGTTCCTACCCTGGCCATCTGGTTACGTCGTCATAACAACCTCTCCTGTTGACATGGAGCTGCACTCAAGGTCTTCTTCAGGAGACCTGACTTTCCTACTCTCTTTACTTTAATAAAATAATCACATTTGGTCTCATAAATGATTTTCTAACTTTACAAGTTGATTACAATCATATTCTGTTCTAAAATGAAGGTTTTATCTAAAGTGTTGTAATAATGTCTTGACTGCTCTACAGCAATGAATGAATCAACATAAATGTTTATACTAGAAATTTCTTATTTCAGGTTTTAAATACACCAAATTAGTCCACTTGATGATTTAATAATGATTTATTTTCTGTATGTCACATATTACTATCAGTGTTAGCAAAAGACTGTTTAACATAGGGTGTTTCTCAACCTTGCCTTGATGTCTTGGGCCCGCCCCGGTTGCCTAGGAGATACGTCATCGGGAGCCGCCAAGGCATGTTCCAATGTTCATGTTCTACGGAGGCGTGTGTTCCCCGTTTGTTAGCCTTTTAGCTAGCTGAGCAAGGATACACGGGAGGTGTCTTGTAGCCTAGCCTTGGTCAAAAATTACCCCGAATACACAGCGGTATTTTCAAAAGGACGGCGGATCAGAAGCCGGCAGCTACTTTGGGGACAATTTTCAAGTTTAAAAGTCGTCGTCGTCTTCCTCTGCTTATCTGGGTCCGGGTCGCGGGGGCAGCATCTCAACTAGGGAGCTCCAGACCGTCCTCTCCCCGGCCACCTCCTACCAACTCCTCCGGCAGGACTCCAAGGCGTTCCCGGACCAGATTGGAGATGTAACCTCTCCAGCGTGTCCTGGGTCGACCCAGGGGCCTCCTGCTGGCAGGACATGCCCGAAACACCTCCCCAGGGAGGCGTCCAGGAGGCATCCTGACCAGATGCCCAAACCACCTCAACTGACTCCTTTCGATCCGGAGGCGCAGCGGTTCTACTCCGAGTCCCTCCCGAATGATCGAGCTCCTCACCCTATCTCTAAGGCTGAGCCCGGCCACCCTATGGAGGAAACTAATTTCAGCCGCTTGTATCCACGATCTCGTTCTTTCGGTCATTGCCCAAAGCTCATGACCATAGGTGAGGATTGGGACGTAGATCGACCGGTAAATCGAGAGCCTGGCTTTCTGGCTCAGCTCCCTCTTTACCACGACAGATCGGCTCAGCGTCATCACTGCAGACGCTGAACCAATCCGCCTGTCGATCTCCCGATCCCTGCTACCCTCACTCGTGAACAAGACCCCGAGATACTTAAACTCCTCCACTTGAGGTAGGACCTCTCCCCCGACCCGGAGATTTGGCCATTCACTTACTGTAGATCAGTGGTTCCTAGGTCCTGACCCCCACAAGGGGGCGCCAAAGCCTCTCAGTGGGTCGCCACTTTAAGGGGTTAAAACTTCATTTACTACTTGTTTATAGCCTACATTTTGCTCACATTTTTTTCATAAGTGAAAAGTTTACTGATATTAAGACAGGAAATAATTAGTACAGAAAAAGTAACACACTTTTAAGAACATTTTGCTCAGCTCACTCTTTTATTTTCAAGTGTCAAAAGTTCATTAAAGATAGGACTGGTTGATAAATCACAGCCTTTACAGTAAATAATCTAGTATAAACAGTAATATACACATTTAAGTACATTTTGCTCAGTGTATTTTTTATGTGTCAAACGTTCATTGAAAGGAATGATTGATTTATCAGTGTTTACAAGAAACAATGTGTTCAGAAAAGTAATACAAACTGTCAAGCACATTATGCTCAGTTTGGTTTTGTTAATGACTTTGTTCTGTACTGGAGCCTACTATTACTGTTATCTATTGAATCAAAGCATATTAAAATGTGCTTGAACAATTTTATCATTTCTTAATAATGTTTGTACTGGAAGAGAGAATGAGAGGGGGTCGTCAAAAATTTTTCTGGTAAAAAAGGGGTCCCTTGGGAAAAAGATTGGGAACCACTGCTGTAGATGATATTTCAATCATTACTGCATGATACAATCGTTGATTTATTTGAAAAAGTAATAGGTTGTAGTGTCAATGTATTTAACCCTACCATTTAGATGTAGCTTTTCCCTTACAAAAGCAAAAACAATCCAAAACATGAAAAATTAAGAAACAGAACAAAAACAACACTAACTTAAGCATGAAGACTAACTTCTTTAAACTAAATAACAGATCAAATATATCCCTAACTAGAAATATATGTATATATGTATATATATATATATATATATATATATATATATATATATATATATATATATATATTATAAATTTTTTTTTGTTCACGATTGTAAAACAAAAAGCCAGCTGGACCAGCAAAACACCCTAATGTTTAAGAGGAAAAAGCTCCAAAGGCAGGTGAGATAATTAATAACCTTTCCACAGAAACACTGTTAAAATTTCCAAACTATCCCTGTAAGTGGTGCGGTTTTGTTTGAGAAGTAGCTTCATTTTTAACATAAAATAATGAAAGAGAACTCATAAATGTAACCAGCACATGTCTTTTTCTTTAATGCTCATTAAGTAGAAAACTGAAAGGAAACGGCTCCAAACGAACCCTCCGGTCATCAGCTTTGAAGTTAAGTAGATCCCCTCTGCGTCAGGCTTCAGTAAGTTCATTAGGCTTGTTTTTCCGTCAGCTAATAAAAATTAATGTTGACATATTTGTTTTTTCTGACACCTCTGGGTGTCTCCCAGTGTGAATGGGCCTCCATGTCCTTACCCAATGTTGGCTTGTATCTTGAAGAACAAGATAACGACTGCTGCTTCTCAGTGTGTTTTTAAAAAAACCTTCTAACCTCTTTTTGATGCTTTTCCCAAGGACACATTTTCTGTCCTTTTGCAGTTGGAGTGATGACCATACCTGTTGGTGCTTCCTTGTGCAACACGAGGGGAGTCGCTGTAAACGTTTGCATGCTTTCCCACATATTGGGCTATAATTTGGCAACAAAAAGAACTGAAGGTGGTAAAATCCACCAGGATCTGAATTTCTCTCTAGACTGTAATCACAATCCCTAATTGTAAATTGAACTTCAGTAGTTTTTACAGGTAATAACTAGCACACTATTTGTGTTTTAGCATCGATACTAACTGAACAAGTTAGCTTAACAGTTTTCATTTATTAGTTTTACTCTGCGAGAAGAAATGTGTAAAATATTTTTTTTAGAATTCAAATCTGTGTTTAAAGTAGCAGTGTGTAGTTTCCTGCCGCTAGGGGGTGGTACATACATACATTTCAGGGTAGTTTTTACACTGTATCACCATGACTGTCTAGTTTAAAAAAAACATTATGGTAAATGTTGCTGTGGAACAGAAAGCATGCAACCTCGATGTGGCTCCTCAGACTTTGATGGTCCTTTAGGAAATTCCATCGAGAGAATACAGTGCTGATTGCAGTTGTCTGGCGTTGTCGTTTCTGGATCTGCTCGAGGTCCTGCACCTGCCGATGACCTCATCATACTACGGCAGATCCGCTTGGCCAAAATATATTGTATATATTTTTCGACTCTGTTCTTTCACCTATGTTTTGGGAAGAGTTTAGTAGTTTTGTTATTAAATTTGTGTTTCTTACTGCCTAAATGTTTTTGAACGTGGTAAGGTAACTTCCGTAACTTGTACGTC